TCATTGTGCGGCTTTGTTTGCTTGTTGGGAGGGAGGGAGGGAGGGGCAAGGACTGCTTTAAAGCAGAGGGCACATTCCGGGTCCTCCCGGGTGGGGTGGGCTGCCTCCCTGTGCCTCTTTCTGCGCCTCTCCGAGAAACCTTTTCTTGAGTGGACGCCCCAGATCTAACACAGGACCACATTTTGCCACAGTTTGTGGAACTTGTCGTTTCTGGCATGCCGGATGTGGGCATGTGCAAATACATATGGGACCATCATCCGGTATAGCAGCCTGGGCTGCGATCCATAGGTCAGCCATTCGAAACCACCAGCCGCTCTTCTGGAGAAAGAGGAGGCTGTGTACTCCCGTCACGTGCGACGCTCTGGGAAGCGCACAGGACCTGTGCTCCCCTGTCTGCAGGGAGCTGTGAGTCGGAACCTGGCTCAATGGCAGTGAGCTTGGTTTTGTGCTTTTGGGGGCACGGATTGGGGTCATGCCCTCGTTTTGCTGTAAAATACCCCAGGGAAACCAGAGAGAGAGAAAGAGAGAGTGTGTGTGGGGTGTGTATGTGGGGTGGGGTGTGTGTGGGGTTTGTCAGTGGTATGCTGTGTGTGTACATGTGTTGTGTGTGCTGTGTGTGTATGGTGGGTGTGGGGTGGTGTGTGTGTGTCAGTGTGTGGTGTGTGTGTACGTGGGGTGGGGTGTGTGTCAGTGTATGGTGTGAGGGGGTTATGTGTGTGATGTGTTTGTGTGTGCGGGTGTGGTGGGTGTGGTGTGTGTACATGTGTATGTATGTGTGCGTGTATGGTGTCAGTGTATGTGTGTATATGTGGTTGTCTGTGAGTGTGTGTGTACATGTGAGTGGGTGGGTGTGAGCATGTGGGTGTACATATGTTGTGTGTGGTATGTGTGCATGGTGTGTGTGTGTCAGTGTATGATGTGGGGGTATGTGTGTGATGTGTTTGTGTGTGTGTGGTGGGTGTGTATGTGGGGTGGGGTGTGTGTCAGTGTATGATGTGGGGGGTATGTGTGTGATGTATTTGTGTGTGTGTGGTGGGTGTGTATGTGGGGTGGGGTGTGTGTCAGTGTATGGTGTGTGAGGTATGTGTGTGATGTGTTTGTATGTATGTGTGTGGGTGTGGTGTGAGTGTGTACATGTGTATATATGAATGGGTGGGTGTGGGTATAGTATGAATGTGTGTATATGTGGGTGGGTGGGTGTGGGTGTGTGCACGTGTGAGTGGATGTGTGTGTGTACATGTAGGAGGGTGGGGTGTCAGGGAGAAGGAGGGACAGGCGCAGCACACCTGCTGCTGGCTACAATCGGGCTGGTTCCCGGCTTCTGCGTTGGGGTGAAACTTGGAAATGACAGCCTCACAG